TTGTCCATACTCTGCTATATTTCAATATTATATGAGTGATACGTCTACAATAACATTCAAATGTCATACTTCTGCTTTGTAATGCAATCGAGAAGGGAAAGGAGAGGAGGAATATGATAGAATAAAACAAGAAGGATCATACATCAATTCATGTGTTGATAAAAAAAAAATATAGGGAGAATGTAATGTACATATTACAAAAGCTGAAGCTAATGGTAGGAGAAATGCATGGATGAAAATTAGAAAAGCAGACAAAAGACATTGAACAGTGTCCATAAATACTTTTTAATTGGACAAAGAAAATTTAATTTATTTCAAAGTAAAATCATGCACTTTTATGATATTCTAGTTTAATATAATGCACAATCTATGGATGTTGCAAATACATTTGACATTTAATTTTTGCAAAGCTTCATTTATACTCTAACGAAAATCAAATGATTAATCTAATTGAGAATATTTGTATATTTGCTTATTGGAAAACTGGAACTTTTGTGAGATGGACAGCAGATAAATTAGACAGTGGATTGAGAGCATCACATAAGGATTGCTGTGACATGCTAATTATTAAGCTCCTGTACTGATCCTTGATGTAACCACAGGGCACATTTCATGTCCAACACCGTAAAAATCTCAATGAATTTCTTCTTGCAGAGACAGCCATGTTATTGCAATGCTCTTACTTTTAATGATAGTTTTTGTTGACATAGTTCTTGTCTTGGATGCTACTTTCTTCATAATGAGGAGTTGGAGATTTAAATAAAGGACCTATTGTTCATTTGTTCCTGGCATAACACTCAAAAGATAAACAATATAGAGGCACTGCCAGCCTCTTTAATGTATCATTCAATTATAAAATGATCTATTATAATTTTCCATAGGGATTGAAGGTTTATGGAAAAATCTCTCCACGCGATGCGGAAAATAACAGCTGCTAGATGCTATACTGTAACAGCAAGATGTTTAAGTAAAGGTCAATTTATATAAAATAAAATGTAGATTTTAAAAAAAAAAAAGAAAAAAGAAACCGTTGGAATGAAAACACTTAAAATCTACATCCACTGGTTCAAAGAGACTTGGAGTAGAAAATGTTAATCCCCCTCAACCTCCACCCCCTCAAAAAAAGTACAGTTTTAAATGTGTTCAAATCACATAGTGAACAAGTATAGTGTACTATTAGTATTGTGTTTTTCTGCCATTTATTTAAGAAGTAGGGAAATTAGATTAACCCCTTCCCGCCGGGTGACGGGCAAGGTCCGTCATGGCGGGGAGACCCTTAACGCCGGTTGACGGACCTCGTCCATCACGCATTAAAATGAACCCCAGATCGCCGCAATTGCGGCGATCGTGGGGTTAACTGTGCTCCGGTCTGCCTCTGTATTAGAGGCAGACCAGGAGCACCCGATCGTGCTTCCCCTTTATTGTATTTTATTAATTAATTTAAATATATTAAAATATTATATTTAGCTAGCTGGGGTGGGTGGAAGTTAGTGGGGAATTGGGGAATTTGGTGCTAGGGTAAATAGGGGTTAACGTTAAAAAAAGTTTTAAAATAAGTTTTAGAAAGTTAAAAAAAGTAAAAAAAAAAAATGTTTATTAACGTTTAAGTAAAAAAACAAAACACCCCCCTTTACCCAGTCCAAATAAAAATTAACCCCTTCCCTGCCAGTCGATCACTGCCTACAGTGATCAAAATACAGATCACAGTAATATACTATGATCTAATTTTTTTTTTAACCCTTGAGGATTAACTTTTATTTATTTTTTTAACCCTCAGGGGTTCAATTTATTTAATTAATTAATTTAAATATTTTATAATTATATATTTTGCTAGCTGGGGTGGATTGGAGTTATGGGGAATTTACTGTTAGTGCTGCTTACTGCTAGTTAGGGGTTAACGGAAAAAGAAAAAGCTTATAAAAATGTTAAATCTGTAAAAAAAAGTTTTAGGAAAGTTTAGGAAAGTTTACAAAAATTAATAAGCAAAACAAAAAGTTTAAAAACTAGTTTTAAAAAGTAAAAAAAGTTTAAAAAAGTAAAAAAAAAATACATTTAAACGCTCATTACCACTACATCTGGAACAAACTAGAGAAAAAATGATCACACGCTAAGGTTCAAAATATGCCTTTTGAATTACCTCAGGGTGTATTCTTTAATAAATAGTATGTGTTAATAAACTACTCCAAAATGGAACATGGACACAGCTTAAAACTTCAAAATTAGAAATAAATTGAATGGCTGCGTCTCAAATGTGCCCCTTCAACATCCACATAGGCCTGGCAAAGGTACATACGGGGGTATTGCTGGACAACATAGCTGAGCAACATGTAGTATTATACAGACGTAGCACACATAAGGTTTGCAAAATATACTGTGCAAACTCACTTTTGTGTCAACAAGGCAAAAAAACGCTTATTACCACTACACTTGGTACAAGCTAGCGGAAAAATTATCCCACGCCAAGGTTCACAATATACCTTTTGAAATACCCTGTGATGTGTTCTTCAAGAAATGGTATGCCTTTATGATGTAGTTGTAATATGTAGCCTGCTCAAGTGCTCCAAAGTGGGTCACGGACGCATCAAAACCCTCCATGAAAATTCACACTTAAAAACCTGAACTTGTCACGTCTCGTTTACAGCATTGTAACCAATGGCAGATCCAGAGCCTGATCTCGGGAGGGGCACTTGTAGATTATGTAAAGAAATAATCCAGACACAATAACCACTACAGCTCAGTGTAGTGGTTATGGTGTCAATAGTGCCGGGACCCCCTCCTAGAGTAAGTAGTCAAACTGTTTAAGAACAGTTTGACAACTTACCTGAGGTCTGCTGGGAAATGGGGCTGTAGTAGGGCATAGGAGCAGTGGTGTGTGTGAGTGGTGCAATGTGTAAGGGGTGCAGTGTGTGTGTGTGAGGGGGACAGTGTGTGAGCAGTCTGTGTGTGTGTGTGTGTGTGTGAAGGTTG